CATAGACGCGACATCCCATATGGTCTAGTACAGGAGTCGGCAATCTACGGCACGCGTGCACGCCAAGCAATTTTCAATGGCACGCAGTCGCAAATGACATTACGAAGTCCGAACCAATAACTACTACAATGCAAAGAAGATATTTAACTGTTTCAATTTTAATATATACTAAAGTATATATGCTATATATTACTATATAAAATATATTGTGGAATAGGTATATTGACCTTGACTTGTATAAAAATACCTATGCTGTTGGCACACTGAATGATTTTAAAACCCTAAGTCGGCACAGAGCAAAAGGTTGCCGACCCCTGATCTAGTAGATAGTATTCCAGACTTTCACCAACGCGGTCTGGTTTCAATTCCCGGTGTGGGAACTCTTTCTTTTCGTTTTTTATGTTTACGATTTTTTATGTGAAATTAGACTGAAAATGTTCTTTAAGGCAAATGTTCATTAAAGACATGATACATTTTGTGTCGATTAATTTTATTGATCGACTTTTCCAAATTACGAAAAATCCTTCTCAGATAGAGCGGAAAATTCTGTCATAAATTGTCTACAGTTCATTTCGGAGGAAACATTTCAACTTTAGTCATCATCAGGATAGGTAGAAACAAATGGTGACTTTCGTGGAACTAATCAGTGTTGTAGCGAAAGTAAAGAGTTTTTTATATGCATTTGAGAATGTGGGCTTTTAAATTGTTTTTATTTATAAAAGGTGTTTCATTAAGACGGATTATATATGTGGTTCATTAAGACGGATCAAAGTCAGCAGTAAATAAATCAGTGTTATTGGTGAAAATTTATTTATTTCTCTATTGGATCATGTTATTTAAGCCATGGCAATTATGGGTGACAAATAATAACACCCAAATGTCCGCCAAAACTGAAAGAAAAAGAAAAAAAAATATTAGACGCTTAAACTTAATTCATATTTAAAATCGGTCCTAGTTATTGGAACACTCTTTAGATGGTTGTTTTGCGGTATGAGTTTTGCTTCGATGATCATAAATCTTTTTTTACTATTTGATTTTGCTAGTAATTTGAGACTTGAAGTCTTAAATCAAGAGAAATGTGGTTCTACAGAAGGATACTGAGAATACTATGGACCGAGCATGTAAGCAACGAAAAGATTTTATGGAATGTAGATACAAAAAGGGCACTTGTACATAAATAACATCAGGAAGAGAGATTTGAAATTACTAAGGCATATAATGTGGTAAGAAGGCCTGGAAAATTCGATATTCATGGGAGAGACTGAAAGCAAAAGAGACAGAGTAAAGACCTTGAGTAACTGGATGGCGGGGCAAGGTTTAGGAGAGATAGCAAAACCTTTATTTATTATTATTAAGATCTACAAAGGGCAGGAAATTGTGGAGAGCCATGATCGCCTACATGCTGAAGGGATGGGGCACAGAAAGAAATAAAAATGCAAATGCAACAGTTTTTAGTGTTATTTAACACTATCTTGGGAAAAGGGCATAATTAATAAGAGTAGACAGGCTTGCCTGTCGTCCGGTTCACACTCCACCCCAAACTTTTGAACAGGAGTAGAGGTTTATCCCCTGTCCTCTGTTTAGGATTGGGTTTTCGATTCTTTCTAAATTGTATTTCAAATCTATTCTTATAACATCTCTAACTGAACTCTGAAATGTTATTCATTGATTTTTTTTCTTCTATCCCAATAGGAGTAGATTGTTTCGTCTGTCATCCGGTTCTCACTCTTCCCAAATATTTTGAACAGGAGTAGAGGTTTATCCTTCCTTCTAAAGTCTACTTCCACACTATTTTAAGGTCTCCGACTGAACTTTGAAATTCATTTAACTAATTAAATATTGACCTCTTCAATTCTGTCTTTCCTGCATAGCCCCAAGAAGTTTACTTCTTGCTCTTTATTACTCCCATACAATACCTCACAGTAATTGTCTATCTTGAGTGGCTCTTTGGCCTTTTATTGTGTGAAGATTAGTATAAAAACTATAAAATATAAGATACGGTAAGGATAAAACTCTCTACAATAGTAAATGTGCTGCAAATCGAACGCATTAACCACTTAACAATTGCCAGGCGTCCATTGCTTATCTCCTTGTAGCAAGCTGAGTAAGCAGAGACAATAGCGAAGTCGTTTCTTATCTCACCTCAAACACCAACATCGACGTAAATATATAAATTAACTACCTCAGCGGCGGAGCCGGTTTGATAACAAATTCAGTTCATTCTGAATACAATGCGATACTATGAATATTTGCAAATTATATTTGACACGAGGTGTGAAAAATAGCAATAAAACCTATAGCACACATCTTTCTCGTAGATGATTAATTAGCGAGAGGTTTGTCATTCTTTTATACGTTATTATCGTCAGAAGCGTATAATTTATAAGAGCAGAGTAATGATGACATATCGCAATTTAAAATAATCGCTCAAAAGGATCTCTTATGGGGCCTGGATTCTTTAAATTTAAGCAGAGTAGATTGGAGTCGAGGTCTCGCCAATTTACAGTTGACCACAAACTCTATGCTAACAGTTCCTTTTCTCGCACTTCTCGCTCGTGGAAGTCCCTTCCGGCTCCATGTTTTCCAGCCAACTTTAATCTTCAAAAATTTAGATGCAATGTCTATCGCTGTCTACTCTCTTCCTGGTTGCTCTTATTTTGTTCTCGCTCCGATGTTGTTTTCTAATTCTTCCGCACTCAGTAACCCCTTGCGTCTCAGTGGCTTTACTGCCTTGCTTGGGGTGAAGTAGATTTAAAAAATAAATCGTCACATTCATCAGTCACTTCCGGGTCAATAAAGTCAGAGCGCCTTGACGATTCTCGTCAAAACCAAACATAATCAAGATATAACTGATTGAATGCTTTGTTTGTTTAACGGCACATCAACTCATTTATGGGTCATTTAATGCCGAAATTTAATTTTTTTTTAGGAGCTTAGGAGTAATAAAAATATATATTCCAGCCAATTTTAATCTTCAAAAATTTAAATGAAATGTCAATCGCTATCTACTGTCACCCTGATTATTCTTCCTCTGTTCTCACACCCTAGCAATGTTCCTGTTTTTAACTCTTCCACACCCAGTAAACCCTTGTATCTCAGTGGCTTTACTGCCTTGCTTAGGGTGAATTAGATTTTTTTAAAAAGACTAAACAAGCACAGAGTAAAACGAAAACGCTAAATGACTAAAGAAAGGACCAATCACTGTCCCCGTAAGAGTCACGTGACCCTGTCTCTGTTAGTGCCAAATTCAAATTCATGCTCTTTTCTTTTCTGTCACCCCGTTAATTAAACAGTATGAAGTAACGCTTCTCCCTTACCATAAGCCCGGTCAGTGCTATCTAGTTATAGAGGAAAGATGCCAACAATGTCAAAAGAAATTACTACTACCTAAAGAAGCTAGCTGAAAACTGAAAGGGACTTTCCCTTCACCAAGTACTGTTGACAAGATAACCGGACGCCTATCACATAAGCTAAGCCCGCAGACACACACTGTCTGCAACCACTTTTTCCTTATTTCTCTTTTTGTATATTAAATATCTTTTAATAGTCCAGGTTATTGCGTTTCTTTCTCTTCAAAAGCTGTTGACTAGTTCATTTGAGCACCCAAGGATATAGCACTTATGCTCCATAAAGTTGAAGTTGTATCTTGGCGTAATATCGCGGATATAATCACCACAAACGTGTTATGGGACTGGGCGTCGAATGCGCGAATATATGAACACTGCTCAAAGATACGGAGTCCTTAGTCTATCACTTTGTAGAAACAAAGTAAAAATTTTACTCCAGTAATTGATACCAGTATTCAATATCATACAATGATGCTGAATATTTTTTCTTAAATTTACTACACCATTTACGATAGGTAAATATAACCAATAAAACGCAGTCTCACGGTAGTTTATGACTAGACTAACTAGTTTGACTGTCATGTTCAGAATCAAAGCCCATCTATATACTAATGAGTTTATCACACTTGGTCGAGAGACAAACAGAAAGAGAGAGTAACGTAGAAAATAAAAGAAAAAGAGAGAGACATAGAGAGACAAAAAGAGAGTGCGACACAGAGAACGACTGGAGAGGCAAACAGAAAGAGAGAGGGGTATGAAGTGGAACACAGAGAAGATCGTAGAGAGACAAAAAGAGAGACAATAAAGACAAGGATTGGAGGGGGGTTCATCTTAGATAAAGGCAGTTGTTTGCAGTGAGGGATTAAGTCATGTTTCATGATTTAACGATCTGTTGAGAGCAATTTCGCCCCTGAACTGCAACTGAGCTTTTGAAATTAAAATCTTTCTTTTTTTTTTTTTTTAATCTTATCTTCGGGAATTTGTTAAAGGGAACCCAGACTCTGTTGAGCATCCAAGATGGAAACAAGAGTGGGGGACTAAAACAAAAAAAATCGTGAAAGGAAAAAAGTTAAAAATATGATGCACCTGGTGAGGGTTAAAGTCACTGTAAAAAAAAATGATTCGCGAAACGAGCTTGTTCAAAGTACTTACAAATATTCAGTTCCCTGCTTATACTGAAAAAAAAATGAGAAAATCTAAAAAAAGAACACTGCACATATTGCGGTTATCATGATAAATAGCTTATTATTGAAGCTGACTGCAAGCGTTATCCCACATGGTCTAGTGGTTAGGATTCCTGGCTTTCACCCAGGCGGCCCGGGTTCGATTCCCTGTGTGGGAACGTTCGTTTTTCTTTAATCTATTCTTATGCATCACGTTAAATACTATAAAGTTTAGATACAAAAAGAAAGAGTCATCTTAGATAAAGGCAATTGTTTGTAGTGAGTAGTTAAATTATGTTTCGTGAACGAAGAGTTGAAGACATTTCACTTTCAGTATATTAAAGAGAGACTATGTCTTTTGTCATAACTATCTGGAAGTAGTGTTGAATGGCCGAGTTCAGTATTAATAATTTAAAAATTCATTAATTATAATATAAGAACCTTGTATTTAACACGGGTTTTGCTATTTAATCTATAATGATTAGAGGTTTACAGTCATATCACATTGAAACACCAGTCTTCGTACGATCACCGAAATTAAGCAACATCGAACCTGGTCAATACCGAGATGGGTGACCGCTTGGGAATAGATGTGCTAGTGGATAACTGCTTAGAATTTGAACTCATGAACCGAGTTTCAATTCCAATCGGGTTCGTTATATTCACTCGTAAATACCATTGGGAAAGGTATAAATTCAGCTTTTTTTTTGCTCCCAGCTATGAGTTAATATGGCGGTTTTTTGTCAGCAAAAATCATTATCTCCAAAAAATTTCTTACAATATAAAAAATATTTTTGGCTTTAAATAACCCGCAAAGGGTTTATAAGCCGTAAAAAAAAACAAATAATTTTTGTCTCCTCGATATATTTTCAATTTTCATGGTTGTTGATGATCGAACTTGCGTTAGAGTTGTTGATGCGGTAAACGAGCCAATTGAACAGAGAAATACCCAAATGAAATGTCAAGCAATCAGCGGAAACTGTAATGTAATCTCTTCCCTTAATTACTTACTAAGGATCCCCAGTATTCCTGTTGCTGATTTTCAAATGTTTAAGATTTATATCAGTGTTTCTCATCCTTTTTACCCTTGTGTAACCCTTAAAATAAATTTAAATGTCTCAAGGAACTCCTGCGCAAAAAGAAGAAATATATACCATATCTTTCTCATTTTATTTTCATCGTGGTTCATGTGGTAAAAAATCATAGTATATGCTTTTGAATAACTGGTTTAAGGAAAAATTAATACTTCTTTGTCAATTTTTTTGTTAATGCTAAATAAAATTCATACTGTTCGTTTAAATACTTCATCAGGGATTTTTCATTCACACAAAAAAAGTCAAACGTAAAAAATAAGTAACCAATATCATATACCTAAAAATGTATAAACAGAAAGAAAACATAATTGCTGCATCAGTTTTTGTTTTTTTTAATTTTTTTATATCCTTTACTGGCAATGTTGAAAAGAGATAAGGTAAATCAAGGCAATTCTCGCGGGCCCTTAGGGATCTTTTGCAGGACCTTAGAGTTCCGGGGAATCCCGGTTGAGAAATTACTGATTTATATATGCTTAAAAATGCTTTACAAATATTCAGTTTCCCGGCTATTAAAACATTAAATGCAATGAGGAACACATCATATGAATTAATCTCAAAACAGTGAACCTATTGCTTTTTTATCATAGTATTGTTTACGGGGATATTCCGTATCTTTGTTTATATTTGCCTTTTAGTATTATTATCGATCTGCTCAACGAGCCGTTTGAACAGTGATCTACGGCAAGATACCTCAAGTCAAGCAATGTCAGAAATCAGCGGGAACACACAGTTCTTCACTTAATTACAGCTAAAAATATTCCCAGCATTCTATTTGTTTATCTTAACATTTCTAAAATAACCGATGTCGGAAAACAGTTTGAGTTAAAGTGCAATTAAAGCATTATGTCAGATAACAGAATATAAAAACAGTACGTGTTTTGAAGTTATAATAAATAACATATTATCGCGAGAGGTAGACGTCATCCCACATGGTCTAGTGGTTAGGATTCCTGGCTTTCACCCAGGCGGCCCGGGTTCGATTCCCGGTGTGGGAATGATTTTTTTTATTAATTAATTCTTTTTTTTAATTTTGTCTTCGTGAATTTGTTAAAGTCTGAGTGAACCGAGACTCTGTTGAGCATCCAAGATGGAAACAAGAGAGGTGGGGGGGTTAAAACAAAAAAAATCGTGAGAGGCGTAAGATACAAAAGAAAGTAAGACACACAGAGAAGGAGTCATCTTAGATAAGAACTATTTCTTCTGTAAATAGTTTTTTACAGATGCTAAGCAGAAGTTTAATATCGTCAGGAATAAAGTTAAAAATATGATGCACCTGGTGAGGGTTAAAGTCACTGTAAAAGAAATGGTTGGCGAACGAACTTGTTCAGAGTACTCACAAATATTCAGTTCCCTGCTTATACTGAAAAAAATGAGAAAATCTAAAAAAAAGAACAATGCTCATATTGCGGTTATCATGATAAATAGACTATTATTGAAACTGCTGTTAAGCGTCATCCCTCATGGTCTAGTGGTTAGGATTCCTGGCTTTCACCCAGGCGGCCCGGGTTCGATTCCCGGTGTGGGAACGTTCGTTTTTCTTTAATCTATTTTTATGCATCTCGGTAAATACTATAAAGTTTATAGATCTCTCTTTTAAAATAGTTGCGTTCAGTTTAAAACATTTCCCTGTTTTTATAGCTTATATTCGCACATGTCCAAATTGACGAAAACATCAAGTCACGTGAAAAATGATATGCGATTTTGAGAGCTCCACGGTGTAGGTCAATAACAACTGGATAGTGAGGTCGATCCTCCATGAGTACCTAATTAATTAGTTTGGCTTCTTGATAAAGCTAATCTAAGTAGAAAACAAAGACCTTTGCTTCGAGGCAAATTTTTCCACAATGAGGTGTGAGATGTTTTAAACCTGTTAGTCATCAAATGCTTACTGGTTAGGATTTCTGTCCGGGTTCGATTCCCTGTGTGGGAACTTTTGCATTTTTTTATCACCAAGAATGAGTAAACGATATATAACTTTTTTTTTTTATATATCATAAAATTTTTAGGAAAACTTCGTGGAAAAAATTTTTTCGTATGACTTCATCTGATTAAAGTGATGTTTATGTTGATGTGACTGCACATGCGCATAAAGGAGTGGAAACGCTGAAATTATCAATTTAATTTTTTTTTTTTTTTTTTTTTAGATTTGTCGGTAAGCGAAACACTTTGTAGTTTCAGGTGAACAAATTTCTCTTTGGGGCACCGTACGAGAATCGAACACGTTGCTTAGTACCAATTGTAAATTATTCTTGCTCGTAAACCATTAAGAAATAACAATTCTTGCTATTTGATAGACATTTAGAAGAATTTAATTCTCATCTAATATCTCGGAAGCGAAAATGGCTGATGGACGAAGGGAGTAAATAATCTAACATATTTTGTGCGAATAGATAGACGAGCGAGAACAAAGACGGATGGTAAAGAAACGTTGCTTTGAGCTACAAGGGACAGAAAACTGGGTGTGATCGGTACTGAAAGAATGATGAACTTAATGATGTTCAAACTCACTACGGTAGTAAGAATTTATGCGACGAACTTGCTTATCATAACTTAAAGGTGTCGTGTCCATAAAGAAATACATAAATAAATAAAAATGATTATACTGGCACTGTGTCGTGTCCACAAAAATAAATAAATAAAAATTAATTATAGTGTAGAAAATAAATATAATAAAATTACAATAACAATTATAATTATCATTAATTCACTCTTTTTAAACCAGTAACAATCGACCTCATTTTTTTTCCTTTACACACACAAACACGTGACATTCTCACTGTCGGACAAGCAATCAGCATGGACAGGCCGTCAACACGTGCGTCAACGAAAATTTCGGCTCCTTTTCTTTTTTCAGGCCATAATATTTCTTAGGACATAACAAAAAATCAAGGTAAGAAAACTCCAGACACTCTTTCAACTAAATTATCTGGACACTCATTACACACACCCATATAAAAAAAAATATAAAAAAATAACATACCAGAAAGTCTGCATATACTTTATTCATTCTTTATCTTTTTCTGTCTGATTCCGATTCATATTTGATCTACATTTGGCACCAAACATACAATTTTACTCACTATTACTGTCTCTCGTTTTACCCACATTATATAACAAACAGAAAATATATAATAGACGTTTTGTTGTTTCCACGTCTTGTTGTTTCTCATTTTCTACGAGTCTTTTTGTATATATAAATGTAAGAGGCGTTCATGATTATTTATTCAGACTTATATAACTCCCCTGCAAAGGCAAGAATTTTATATTGATATGTATTTACATGTGGCTAACTAAGAAAATTTGCCCTTCCCTCCAGTCATCGACGTTTGTGTTTAATAAATAACCAAACGTTCTTGCTTTTTCTAAGTTATCCCGAATCCCGAAGTTTTTATGCAAACGCCCCGTTCGTACAGATTGTTGCGGCTTCATGTTCAAATCTCGTCCCGAGACCTACCACTTGTAATAGAATGGGGGTTTCGACATTAGACTGAACGTCTTAACATAGTCAAAATAAGTAAGTTCAACACATACATCATTTTTTTTTTGTCAAGGACCCCTTGCATATTATGCAAGGGGTCCTCGACTTACAAAAGATTTCCGTTCCTTCGATGCGACGAAACACGTTTATTCGTGTTTGGCAAAACGTACCTGAAATTTTCATATCATACCAGAAATTTCCTGAAGACAGAACAACCCGTGTCTATGACATATAAAAACAAAATTAGGACTAATAAAACATAGATGACATAAATATAATGCATATAATGAAATTTAAATAATACATAATGAAATGAATTCGTTTTGAGCTGCTTGCGGGGCAGGCGCTAGGGTCTCCGCCCCTGCCCCGAAACTTTTATAAGGGGTCCTTGTCTTTACTACATATCGATTTCAAGGTTTCCCAGGCTGGGGGCCACAAACCTTCGAAGAAAAATAGGTGGAGCGCTTTTTTTAAATGATCGAAAATCAGGGAATTATCCAATTTAAATGAAAATTTCAGTAGATATTCATTGTTTAATTTTTTTATTTAAAAAAATCTGAGAAAATGTTATTCTTTTTGTAATAACCACCAATATTTTCATGACAAAATTTTACTCGAAAAAAAGATAAATAGCCGACGCATCTCCACTGAAAAAAAAGTTTCACAAAGATTGATATAATGGAATATGCATACACCTGTGTTGCCCCTCACTGGAATATGATTGGCTGGAGTCCGTCATAAATACCGACGGACGTGTAGGAGAGTCAGAGCCTTAGTCTGAGAGCTAAGTCTATAACGACGCCCATTGGACTACGCCGTTGATCTACACTTTTTACCTGCGACTATGATGTGTACCAGTCGATTACCGCTACCGTATTCTACTTGGTTATAGTAGCCAACACCACTTAGCTACTTCGTTCAAATAGATCCCTTTCCAGGATATATCAAAGATTCCAACACAACACAAACGGGATTGTCTTAATTCGTTAAATTTTCGGAAAATTTTTCGTGTTGAAATCTTTAAAAAAAATTATTATTATTATTATTGAAGCGATCATTTTCTTGGTTTATCTTTCTAGAAATGTAAGAAATAGGGACTAGAAATTTTATTTTAATTACTAGCCGTGGACTTCTGGTTAGTATTACTATAAGTAAAAAAAAATCAAAGATTCTTCTTAGTGGATGATCTCTAAATAAAAATTGATTTTATCGAGATATATTACCTTCTTAATTGTTTTAAAAGAACTTTTCAAAAATAAAAATTACAATTTAAAAAAAAAAAATAAGGGCTACTTAAATTAGCACTTCTGCCCTCCCTCCTTCCCAGTAGGCATAGGGGCCCCACGCAGTTGAGAGGTTCGGGGAAGTGAGCACCGGCCCTGACGATTATTATTGTTGATGATTGACGATATAACTAAGGTAAAAAAAAAAAAGTAAAAAGTACAAAAAGCAAAAAATACCAAAAAAAAAAAAAAAAAAACGCTGCTGAAACTAGCCCTTTTGGGGCTCCAATTTCGTCGGGGGTTCTTACGAAATACGCACTGCACCGGCCATGCAGATACACGATGTATATTATTAGTTGATGACTGACAATGCAATAATTTTTAAAAAAAAATGCGGATGACATTAAAACAGTACTGAAAAAAATATGGCTGAGGCCAGAATGGGGACCTAAAAAATGCTAGGTCGGGGGTAAGACCTGGCTGTTTGTATAGTTATTGTCAGTGATGTCATTGGCTTTCCATAGTAATCGGTAGGACAAAGTATAAGATCTTGTCTCCCTTGCAATAATCGGAAGCAGCAGCAAATCTGGGGAAGAAAGATTAATGGAGTTTGCGTTGTCCCTGGGTTACGACAGTTCCAACTTACTGTATTTATATATAGAACAACATAGCTGAGAATTGGAAATAAATATATATCGGTTGAGTCTAAAAGGTCGGTTGACCCGGGGACGAAGTCTATCCAGAGTGGAAAAAAGACACGTCTCATTACGATGCCATCATTTGGATCAAGAGAGATAAAAGAGAGTTTGAGTTTTTTCCTTTGATACGGCTTTATACAACGCCAATAGGCCTTAGAAAAAAAAACTTTCTCTTATCTGACAAGGTCTTAGAAGAAGTCCCTTGTCAGATAAGAGAAACTTCGGTCCTCATTGGCTGCTTCTTCATCTCTGTCTTGTATCAGAACTAAAATATGCTTCGTAAATTGCTACATATATATATATATATATATATATATATATATATATATATATATATAATGGACAATAATTCAATTTATATATATATATATATATATATATATATATATATATATTTTGTTGGATTGATGTGAGTTTGTGACCCTGGGTTTCACGCTTTTGCGATCGTCAGACAATATGTTAGCTCTCTCTCTCTCTCTCTCTCTCTCTCTCTCTCTCTCTCTCTGATATTGAGCGCTTTCTAATAAGTACCGCGCATATATAAATAATTATATATATATATATATTTATATTTATATTTATACACACACACTTTTCACACACACACACACACACACACACACACACACACACACACACACACACACACACACACACACACACACACACACACATATGAGGTACAAATAAAATAAATAACCCATTTGAAGCCTAAAATGAAAGAAAAACAAACTAAGATACAAATCAAAAATTGTTTAATAACAAAGGAAATCGGCAAATAATAGTTTTCCCAGAAACGGTGATGTAATATTTTCCTGCGTGCACTTACTAAGTCTGGCATGGTCTGGTACAAGGTCACCCATCTCAGTACTGCGATCGTTCAACATTGCTTAACTTCGATGTTCAGGCGAGAAACACTGGTTTTTATTTATCAACCAAAAGGTAACAATAAGTAGGACACTATGCGGACAGGACTTTTTGGCAAGAGTTTGCATGACTACTTGTTAATTATCGGTTTACAACAGGGGCCGAGAAAGACAGATCTGTGTGCGTATGTGTTCCTACGTAGATATTAACGTGTGTCAAGGTGTGAATGTCTCTATATACATTTATAAAATTATTGCCTTTGTGCTTTATGTGTGTGGACGCGCGAAAGTAAGGATGTTCACACGCGTTCTTCTGTTGTGGAATGCCCAAATATTTGCTCTTGTCACGATTGTTTTCATATCCTGCCAATCATACGGGCGGCCAATCAAATTTAGATTTTAAATTTTTATTGCTATTGTCATTCCTTCTTACCCCTAACACGCGTCTCTCTCTCTCTCTCTTTCTCTCTTTCTCTTTCTCTCTCTCTCTCTCTCTCTCTCACACACACACACACACACACACACACACTCTTTCTTTCTGTCTTTCTTTCTTTCTTTCTTACCAACTTTATTTTTTCAGTACGTTTTCCTTTCGGCATTGTTCCATTTCTTTTCTCTTCATGACTTTATTTGAACTTTGTTCATCTTTTAAACATCTTATCTATAATTTCCATTTCTTTCCCCTTTACCATATTTTTTCGTCTTTCCCTTTTTCTTCTAGTTCTTTCTTTTTTCTTTCCTTCTTTGTTTTTCTTTCTTTTCTTTTTTCTTTCTTTCCGTCTTTCTTTCCTTAATTCTTTCTTTCCTTCTTTCTTTGTTTTTCTTTTTTTTTTCTTTCTTACCTTCCTCCTTTCTTTATTTATTTCCGTCTTTATTTTTCCTTTCTTTCTTTCTTTCTTTCTTTCCTCCTTTTTTCTTTCTTCTTTTGTATTTCTTTCTTCACTTCTCTCTTTATTCCTTTCTTTCTTTCTTTTCTTTTTCTTTCTTTCCTTCTTTCTTTCTTTCCTTTTCTTTCCTCCTTTCTTTCTTTTCTTTTTCTTTCTTTCCTTCTTTCTTTCCTGTTTTTCTTCCCTTCTTTCCTTCTTTCTTTTCTTCCTTCTTTCTTTCTATCCTTCTTTCTTTCTATCCTTCTTTCTTTTTTCTTTCTTTCCTTCGTCCTTTCTTTCTTTTTTCTTTCTTTCTTTCTTTCTTTCTTTCTTTCACTATTTCTTTTATGTTCTTTCGGAATTTCTCACATGTTTGGTCCATGGTATTCTCAGCATCCTTTTCTAGAACCGCATTTCTGTTTCCTCAAAGCTCTGATGAGATTATCCAGCATTCACTGCCATATAAAAGGACTGATATTACATAACAATTCCGTACTCTTTTCTTTGTTTCCAGTGAAATTTTTGCTTAGCTTTTGGAAGGCATCTTTCGCCATTCCAATGCGCCTTTGAATTTCGGTGTTGCACTTCCGTCCTCTGTTAAAACAATTCCCAGACATTTAAACTGTTGTACATGTTACGGTTACATCTAGCCTTTTCAACTCTAAAATGATGGAATCTTGTCGCCAATCTAGCTTAAATTTATAAAGTCTAGGTACCATAGTTTAAAATTCATCAGAACAATTACCTTGAAAGTATTTATAGAAAAGGCTCAGGAAGCTACATTATGGCGGTTGGAAAGTGACTGAAGCAGAGATTCCAGCTCAGGACCAATAATATTGCAGATTTTTCTTTGGATTTTTATCAAGAATCTGTAAATATATAGCAGGAGCAGAAGACTAGATGTGACAGCAATATTCAAAGCATGGACAAATGATAGACATATAAATATGTAAGATAGATTTTGACCTCTTTAATCCGGCATCCTTAGACCCAGGCCCCTGATGGATTACATAAAATGCCGGATGACAGCAATAAAAAAATTTACTCTTACCGACTGATTCCACATATACAATTGCTGGGTTGTCAAATGTCGAACAAAGCTTAAGGGAATAAAACAATCATTAATGCTCCCAATCAAGTTTTTTTTATTGTTTTATTGTTTTTTATTGTTTTATTGTTTTTTATTGTTTTATTGTTTTTTTTATTGTTTTATTGTTTTTTATTGTTTTATTGGTTTTTATTGTTTTATTTTTTATTGTTTCTTGCAATACAAATGCTAAAAAAAAAAAAAAGAAAACCAAAATATATATACTCACTATCCCGAATGGGTAAATATGCAGCTATATATCTGAAATGAGAAAGACCCTATCACCAAAACATTCTGCTGTGGTCTGCTGCAGCGGCAAATTGTAAACAACGTGTGGTGCTGCCATTGTAGCCACTCAAAAAACTAATGGCGGATTATTAAAACAATTACCGGACCAAGCCAGTTACCGGACCATTGGATTAAAGAGTTCGATCTGTAAAAATATTAATTAACCACGACCATTATCCTTTTTGCTGATGCCTACAATACACTTACTAAACTGCATGTGAAAGGCGTCTAGTATCCTGTAGGACCCCCTTCATGCTGGCGAAGTTCGGCAACTCGATGAGATATCGATTCCACAAGTGGTCAGAACATCTGTAGAGAGAAAGAGCCATACTGGATCGATAGGTGTCCAAATTTCCCTAGTATTTATAGATGCAGGAGCTTGCGTCCAGACAGACTATTTCTCCCACGTCCCATTGTGATAATGTCGGGCAAACATTGCGATCACACCATTCCTCGCAAATCTGTATAGTCCGCCTTAAACAAATTCTGAGCAACATGAGGTGAATAACACAAGGCATTATCTCGTAAGATCCATCATTGCTGGGATAAATGGAGACCATGAATGTGTGCAATTCGTAACAGTCTAAAACGTGTTCAGTCGAACAAACAGACAACCCATATTATACCATAGCCTGCTGACAATGGTAGTTCATGACGTGACAGGGTCTACTATCAGCTCGAAACATCTGGAAACGTAGATCATTGGAACACGGCAATTTAGTTCCAGCCTTCCAAGGTCCAATTAAACAACACGACAAAGTTGCAAAAATACACGGAACAAACTCATTTTATGGATTCATATCTAAGCCATCTTGCTTAATTTCTTTCTTTCATTCTTTTATTCCTATTTATCTATTTCATTCTTCCCCTCCTCTCTCTCTCTCTTTCACTCCCTCTCTCGTTTTATCTCTCTCTCTCTTTATATATATATATATATATATATATATATATATATATGTATATATATGTGTGTGTGTGTGTGTATGTGTGTGTGCGTGTGTGTGTCTGAGTGCGTATATATATACATTTATGACACGACTGGACTCTACTTTGAACAATAAGAATGTAGAATTACTCTCCAAGCTTAACAGAAAAATCGTGATGAAATTGATCATAGACGAAAATAACACATTCATAATTAATTAATCATAGCTAAGGATTGGAAGCTCATGAAGGATTGATGTAAAGTTCAAATATATATATATATATATATATATATATATATATATATATATTACAGGATCATTTTTCAACTTATTCAAGATGATCTTCGCCCTCTCTAACCATCTAACTTTCTGACCTGGTGTAACAAGGTGCCTCACAGGTTTGACGTACGACTTCATTTTAAGTTTTTTCGCTGTTATTTGGGCTGGTTTTTTAGATATTAAACATTTTGTGGGATGTACAATTATGCTGTTACACAATTTGCATAATTATGCTATCACACCCGGTATTTCAATACCCCGTCCCCCTATAACTCTTTCTCTCTCTCTCTCTCTCTCTCTCTCTCTCTCTCTCTGTATACACACACACACACACACACACACACACACACACACACACACACACACACACACACATATATATATATAATACAAGTTGCGGCAGAGGTAAATGTGGGAGGTTTTTTTTCGGACACACCTATATATATATATATATATATATATATATATATATATATGTATGTATATATATATATATCCTATTTATCTATCTATGCATCTACCTATCAATCTCGGTCTAATCATATATATATATATATATATATATATATATATATATATATATATATATATATTTATGCATTTCGTTGATAATTAATTTACTCGGCAGGCATGTATTTGATGAGTCAATGTACTAAAATGAACTGAACTGGGGAGAACAGCCTCATTAATAATAAGGAGTGTCAATTCCCTGTTGAAGAAGCTAACATCTGGTTGCCTGATCAGCCATCATTTTATATTATTCGATCATAACAGAGCTGCATAAGTGCGCGTGTAAACGCGCGCGCGCACACACACACACATACACACGCGCGCTCGCACGCGCTCGCACACACACACACACACGCCCACAAGCAAATATAAGCTTATAGATATTATTAATGCTAACCTGCTAAGTCAAAGGAGGTGAAGAGTTTGACATCGAGACTCGGCCTTCAGCTGCAATTTAAGCTGGAAGACACGCAATCGATGTGCCCACGGAAACGTGCCAGTATTTTTGGAACAGACTCCTGGTGAGAGCTTCTCTGAACACAATAATCTTAACCTCTTCAAACCAAAGATAAATGCTTATCTATCTTACTTATCCTCATAATCTTCACTCCCTACCAGCACATCTTTCATTCAAATCACACACTGAATGGTCAGCGATAGGCCGGAGCGCATCGTGGGCAGGGCATTCTGATAATGATGGATTACCTATGTCTGGGTTTTAAATATAAATCCAAAACGGCGCGAATTCTCATAGGTCTCAAGAATTTTGAAGCGTCGATATGCCTCCCAAACCCAAGTTTGCGACAGGGTGAGACCACCCGCGGAGGGACGCTAACCCAACATGCGACATACGTTCCTGTGACGTCAGTCCTCCTACTGCTTCTTAGAATCCAAGCTACAACAATAAAAACAAATACCAAAAAGTAATTACCCTTTTCGTTGATACCGTTTATATGTAGTATTGTGGAGATTCAGAGACGACACAGAACACAACAGCTGACTTTGAGTTAGATTCAAACAACAAACACTTTTAAAGTCGTAATCGCTTTCAATGTCTCTACTAAGACACGCCCAAACTTATGTACACCAATTATTGTGTGTCAAGTGCGTATCAATAAGTTATATATCTTGGCCTTCAGCCGGATTGATTGATTTTTTTTACGGTTTATCAATCCTTTGTGAGTAGTCTGCACTCAACTATACTTACGTCCATATCACGTTGAAAAACCAGTTCCTGTACGAACATCGAAGTTAAGTAATGTCGAGTCTAGTCAGTACCTAAACGGGTTACCGCTTGGGAATACCAGGTGTTATAAGCTTGGATGTGCGGGTGGTGTAATGGATAATGACTCGGAATTGTTAATCGGAGAGCTGAATTCCAATTCCAGTTGGGTCTGTTATATTCGCTTACGCGCAAGAACCTTTAGGAAATCTATGAACCCTACTCTTCTCCCCCAACTATGGGTTAATTAGTAACACGTGTATCACTAAATCATTATTATCTCTAAAAAAAATTCTTACAATCTAAAAATATTTTCTGACCTTAAATAACCTGCAAAGGGTTGATAAGCTGTAGAAAACGATTCAGTCAAAACAATACGCTCAACTATCCAAGACTATTTCAGCCTCCAAGCATTTTTTTTTTAATTATATGTTGTTACTTCCTCTCTATTGCAGGTATTTATTTATATACCTGCAGTGATAGTGTGGATGGGTAATTATTGGTTGCATTTCGCTTCTTCCGACTGGTAAGGAGGTAGGTAAGCAAGAGACGAAAAGCTTGTCACCCTATTAGAAACGGAAGTGAATGGCAAAAGAAAACATCTCAGTGTAAATAAATTAGCGAATTCTCCGGCCGTCGAAACCTGTTTGCGGGCTTGCGGGATTAAAATCTCCAAAATTGGCCAAAGATCTTCCATTCAGTTGCTTCACCTGTCACGCTAAACACATGTTCGCTGAACATGTTCTTTCACAGCCGCCTTCGTATACTCGTTCAAGCACTCCTCCACACATACAAACACGCACGCCCTCTCTTGCTCACACACAGAATCATTCTTTCTTGTGTATACACGCAAATAATCATAAACACGTACACAACCCCTCACATTATTTCTCCGCAGTCTTTCTCTCTCTATCACTCTCTCTCGCTCTCTCTCTCTCTCTCTCTCTCTCTCTCTCTCTGTGGTATACATACTTTTATATCGATTAGGCTTATGACTTTTTTAACCCCATGTTCTCGCGTCATAAATCGATGAACTTTTATTCAAAAGTAATGAAAAAAGTATTAATTTATTTTAGTTCTTGTAAAAGGTCACCTCCAAACCGGAAATTCAATTTTACCATACACGCAATAAATCTAAAAAAAGTATTTCAGAAGCTTTATCTTTCAATTTACTAATTAAATACTCAGTAAGTTATGTGCCATGCGTGATACACGCTTAGGCGATCATATATGTTTCGATACATGACCGACGAGGCAGATTTTTTCCCGCAGTAGGTTGCCATTTCTTTCTGCGGTAGACCAGTTGTCATCCAAGTCTATAGAACCCGGTCTGCCCTGCTATTTACCTATAGTTGTGAGGAAGAAGAAGGTGATTCATGCCTTTCCCAATGGTAATAGCACGTAAGTGAATATAACAGATACGACTGGAATTCGAACTCGGCTCTCCGATTCCTCACTTATGTATTTTTAACACATTTAACAGTTTATAGCTATAGCGTAACATACAAATTTACAAATAAGCAAAAAAGTTCTAGAAGGCTCCAGAAAGTCTATTATACTTATATACTAAATTTAGAAATTTCGTCTTTTAAAAAATAAACTAAATTAAGTCCTTCTTCATTATTTTTGAACAAAAGTTCATCGAATTATGAAACAGGAAATCAATTATTTTACAAAATTTCATCCTCCTAATATCCATATATATATTCTCCTTCAATCTTTTGTTCACTCAAATACATACTTATGGGCACTTTGGCGTGGCCTAATGGTTAACGAGCTTGTCTTGCTAGATCAGTTACGACTGAGGAGTGAGTACAATCTTCATTGGGTGCTCCATATTTGTGGCCTTATGCCAAATATAAGCTAAACTTAGTAAATCAGTATTTTTCGGACTTCGAGACGTGATCATAGCATAGTATCTGTTCCTCTTATTTACAACACACAGCCTTCCCCCATTGCCCTAAAGAAGGAGGGATCAGTGTAATATCGACGCCAGCGTTACAGTGGTCGCAGAGACTGAGTAATTGACCGAAGATGCCACCCACATTAAAAAGACCTCGTGTAATATTTTGCCAATATGGGGAGGCCAGTCTTCTTCTTCTATGTGTCGTGTCCCTTTAGGACGTTGGCGATCATAACTCTCCACAATTTCATATCCTTTGTACCCTTAGTAATTTTTTTTCTTTATGCTATTTCTCCTAAACCTTGTTTTGCTATCCATTTACACAAGCTTCTTAGGTAGATTATACGCTGTTTTTACTCTGTTCCTCTTGCCTTCAATATATCCTGTGAGTGTCAAATTTTCTAAATCGTCTTTCCTCATTACATGCCCTCGATCAGATGTTAAGTATATGTGTTCTTTTTGTTTCGATTTTCTCTAAAAAATATTTTGCTCACATGTTCGCCCCATGGAATTCTCAGCATAGTAAATAACACACACATCTATACGCTTTTTCTCATACATAATTCACGTTCACTCACACAATTTTCCCTTCTCTCTCTTTTTCTCTTTTTCTCTTTCCCCCATACTCACTCTCTCCCCCTCTCAGATACACCTACTGTTATATCCATATATATTTTCTCTCCCACACATACACATTCACACGGACATGCACTTTTTCTTACAAACACCGCACGTTCGTATACATATTCTCATATCTATGCGCACACACACACACAGACACACACACCTTTACTCAGATATTTTACAGATACATATCCATACGGACACACATAAAAAGAGAGTAATGTATATATATATGGGTACATCGACTTCTTCTTCTTCTATATGCTGTGTACCTTCAAGACGTAAGCGATCATGGCTCTCCACAATTTCCTGTCCCTTAGTAAAATGTTGTCTTTTCGCCATCTCTCCTACGCGTACCAAATCAGCTCATATCCATAGGCGCGCACTTTCAAACACTTTCCTTCACAAATACGCTCATATTCTTGAACAGGAGTAGAGGTTTATCTCGTGTTTCCGGTTTAGGATTGGATTTCCGGTTCCTTCTAAAGTCTTTATATGTGTATATGTGTATGTGTGTGCGTGCGTGTGTATCTGTATTTAAGTGTGGGCGTGCGTGTGTTTATGTGTGTATATGCGCTCGCTTGTATATATATATATATATGTGTGTGTGTGTGTGTGTGTGTGTGTGTGTGTGTGTGTGTGTGTGTGTGTGTGTGTGTGTGTGTGTGTGTGTGTGTGTGTTTTAAGTTTACTTCCAGCTTGGAATAAGAAATTTCGAATTCTGGTCAGGTTCATTACAATCACTTACACGCAAATACCCTTGGGAAAGATATGAATCGATCTCTTCTCTAGCCCCCCAGCTATGGTCAGATAGTAGGACCTGTATCATCGCTATTTACCCAAATATTCTTAATCCACTAAGAAAAGGAAAAAAAAAGAATTATTCTTACAATTCGAATTATGTTGCAGCTTTAAATAGCCAAGAAAGGGTTGATAAACCGTAAAAAAAACAAATCAATCAATCAGTCTTTTCTTAAATTCATAAATTTTGTCTCTTTAAAAGATTTTAATTTTTATTACTTAATAAAACAGATTCCAATCTCCCCAATTATTAAGACAATCCTATTTATTAGTCACCGGAAAATATATTCTTCGTTTTTTGTTTCCTGTTGCTAAGTTGAACGCTGGGTAGCGTTTCTTACATCATGGCTTCTCGCAGCTGCAGCATCTTAAGTTCGTGTTAACAGTTAGACACTGGCTAGATGCGAGTTGCGGAATATTTGCATAGATAGATAGATAGATAGATAGATAGATAGATAGATAGATAATGTAATATATATGCATAGATAGATAGATAGATAGATAGATAGATAGATAGATAGATAGATAGATAGATAGATAATGAAATATATATGCATAGATAGATAGATAGATAGATAGATAGATAGATAGATAGATAGATAGATAATAATGTAATATATTTGCATAGATAGATAGATAGATAGATAGATAGTCTAGATATTGTAATATGCATAGATAGATAGATAGATAGATAGATAGATAGATAGATAGATAGATAGATAGATAGATAGATAATGTAATATATATGCATAGATAGATAGATAGATAGATAGATAGATAGATAGATAGATAGATAATGTATATATATATAGATAGATAGATAGATAGATAGATAGATAGATAGATAGATAATAATGAAATATATATGCATAGATAGATAGATAGATAGATAGATAGATAGATAGATAGATAGATAGATAATGTAATATATTTGCATAGATAGATAGATAGATAGATAGATAGATAGTCTAGATATTGTAATATGCATAGATAGATAGATAGATAGATAGATAGATAGATAGATAGATAGATAGATAGATAGATAGATAGATAGATGTGCGTGGATGTTCATCAACTGAAGTAGCACTTTCAACTGCTGACAACCAGAATAAAATGTCCGATAATTAATGATAAAGTGAAAAACTTGTTTATCAATTTCGACGAAGTGCAGTCGGTTCTGACGTTCTGTGCCAACAAAAAAACCTTTCTGTCTGTCTAATACAAGAAAAAAAAGGCTAGATAAACAAACAACGATAACAAAGCGGCGTTTGTTTCATATAGTCACTGTAGGGAGTAAGTTGATTATTTTTAGTGGCACAAGAAATATTTTCAACTTGCATTTCTTACACAAAGATCAAAGCGTGCTATTTTCAGTTGTAAAAGATGGTGTGAATATTATCTGGATGTCTATAAAATCAATTATATTTATTTTGTAGTGTGGTGCTTGAATAGACATTGCACGGAATTTCGCATCAGATATCAAAGAAGCCGGAGGTGCAACTCCCAACCACCGAATGCAGAAGTACATGACCTCTCAGCTGTATTCGCTATTGCAGGCGAGAGAACGAGAATGTTGAACAGATATTGGTCATTTTTAAACTCACACTGGCTGAGAGTAATTGACGAAATATTGGCGTGAATAAAATGTTATGTAATGAATATTCAAGTCTCTTGCAATTCCATTACAATTTGTTGTTTAAATATTACTAGTTTTTTTTACAAAACAATTTCATATTTTTTTCATTGTAGTTTATATGATTTTAGCTCCCTTACAAAAGGTCAGTACGAGTTTCCTCCCTTTATACGACCGGAAGAAGATTCAAATTGTCATTCAGTCAGTACAATGCGTGAGACACGCTTAGGCGATCATATATCTTTCGATACATGACTGGTGAAGCAGATTTTTTCCCGTAGTGGGTTGCCATTTCTTTCTCCGGTAGACTATTTGCCATCCAAGGCTATAAACCCCGGTCTGTCTTGCTATTTACCAATAGCTGGAGGGAGAAGATGAGCATTCCTACCTTTCCTAATGGTATTAGCACGTAAGTGAATGTAATGGATTCGACTGGAATTCGAACTCGGCTTTCCGATTCCTCAATCCGAGTCTCTATCCATTACCCCACCGTATTAAAATATCAACAACAACAATAATAATAATCATAATCTTGAAAATACTGCATACAAATTCCATAGTTTTAAAACTTCACCTGATTTAATATTTTTCTAAAGCAAACAGGAACAAATAAATACTCTCCTGAATTAAGCCCCCTTTCTCTTTGAAGGAAAAATGATCTCGAACTGTGTATATTGTAGCCCATGCAGTTGTAGCAAGAAATACAATGGAGAGACCAGCCGCCTCCTAAATGTAAGGATAGAGGAACATCGAAAGGCTGTAGTCCGTAGATAGATTGAAATCAAGCATGGCTGATCATATATCGAACGAATGCGTTGGTCATCAACCTTTGTGGAATGGAATAATGTTGTTAAGAGAGAACACTGCTGAAGGATAAAGTAACTGAAAGAACCAGCGCTCATGTAAGTCACCAACAAACTCATCAGTATTCCAAGTAGCATTTGGTATCGTGGATTAAAATCTGGTAGTTGTGAGTTCAATTTCTGGGACTGGTAGTGCTGAAAAGTTATGTACTCTTGTTCAGTTGAAGAAACAAACAAAGAAACGATACAATGCTAAACAAGACTGGTGAAATATCTCATAAGCAGGTTTCCCTATCAGTTATGAGATCAATCTCTGGGTCTGGTAGTGCTGAAAAGTCCTATTCTCTGGTTTAGTGGAAGAAACAGACAAATGACACAAAAGCGAATAAAACTGGTAAGTATAAACTGATACGAGTTATCTCCCCTAAGCATACAAAGCGGAATGTGAGCAATCAACTCCCGAGGATTGGATGAACGGTTCAGTTAGAAAATCAGGAAAACTCTGCAATACTAATAAGATTATGTAATTAACTTACTAAGAAATGCGTTAATATTAAGTTTAGATTCAACTGTTTATCTTACATATACTTATAATCTGGACTTCTTGCCTCCCTCACCTCTTACATCAATAAAACATTCTCATTCAAAAAACACTTCACCTGGAATGGCTCTTCGGTTTTGTATTGGGTGAATAAAAAATATATCCAAATTAATAATTTTTTGAATGATGTTCACTTGTACAAGACCCAAGAGTCACTTGAAGTAGAGGGTTACAGAGTACGAGGCGCTACTCCAAGTAACCTATCTACTTCTATTGAAGAAAAAAGTAAAGTACTAAATAATAAGTTCAGAGTTTTAGGCGGTGACTTTAGAAGCAGAGAGTTGATGTAGACTTTATAAGGAACCGACAAAAAAAAGAAAAGAAAAGAAAAAAAAAGAAAAAAAAAAGAAAAAAACCTCTGCTCCTATTCAAAAGACCGGGGAGGGGTGTGAACCAGGTTATAGGTGAAATTATAATGCGTAAATTGTTAGCTATGACTCAAAGACAGAGCATTACATTCTTGGGACATTATGCAAATGAATCTATTCAAATATCTCTGTCTTTTATAATGTAATTTTGAAGCCATTGCTAGGATTATTTTATTAGCATATAATCTTAAAATTTCACATTTTAGTAGCCCCATTAAAAATAAGCTAATGACAATCAGTGGTCCCGATGTCAATTAGGTGGTATTCTCTGAGGGTCACTTCTAAGATTTTCCTTACTAAAGGAAGTCTCAGGATAATAGGATGCCGGAAGATCGGTGGCTGACTGTACGTTCATTTGACACGTACAAAAACGTGTCTGGTGGGAGTATTCGCTCAGTATAAACTACTTCCTTCCTTTCTCAAATTCCTCAAGCGCTATGCACAATTTTCCTTACTCCCCCCTCTCTCTCTCTCTCTATCTCTATCTCTCTCTCTCTCTATCTCTATCTCTATCTCTCTCTCTGATATCTAGCATTTCACAGCAGCACCATTTTAGGCGTGATCCCAACTCTGACAGGTGACTACCTTGACTGCTTCGAAGCAGAAGAGGCAGAAGGGAGGCAGCACCTTTTGCGAAAAATTTGAGGCTAGAGGGATGGTGGGTCGGCCTGATATTGAATTCAGTGTTGCTTCCTCTCTGTATCTCTGGCCGTTGATATTTGTCTCGAAGACAGTGCCGACTTCCTGGATTGGAATCACGTAATAGAAGATTAACAAAGAACACCTGAAATATGTAACAGAACAGAGAAATGTGACTCCATTACTAAATTCTAAAACGTTTTTACGCATGCGTCGTAAACACGTTTACAATTTCGACGTAGACAAACACTTGTAGAGAATCAAATAGATGCAAAAAATTATTCTGGTGTAACTTATATATATATATATATATATATATATATATATATCAGCAACATTTTAAGGGAATTTTTTATCTGGCATTATTTCTTATTACTAAATATTATTTTTGGTAGGTCTACGTATTTAAGTTGCTAGCCCAATTCTTTAATTTTTTATTAAACAATGAAATTAATAACAACCGCTATAAATTGAGAAGTCGTACGAAAGAAAAACTGTCTTAGACATGCATTGAAGCAGTATCCCCCGTTTTCCATCAGGGAAACAAATTTTTTAACCAAAGCGTGCCGCTACTAGTTTCGTCACGTAGGCCAACCTGACAGAGCAAGAATTACCTAGCGTTTATTATATATATATATATATATATATATATATATATATATATATATATATATATATACATGAATCATTCACACAAAAAGTAGATTAGTAAAGTTAATGATATAAATGGCAAAAGCATCTTCGCAAACAAATTTATTAAAGTTACATTAACCCACGAACCACTCGATGAATGTTATGATCCTTGTTTTTTAATAACTTCAAGTTGTATAAGGTCTTTTTTTTATTCTGCTAGTACTTTCGGCTGTACATTCAGCCATCCTCAAGCATGGAAATTGTTTTTTGTTTTTTTTAGTATATCCAGGTAACAAGCGGGCACGAAAAATTAAATGCGAATCGAAATATGTTTTTGTTAGAAATGTGTTATTTTTAACGGATAAAAACTTTTGGAGCGTGCAGTCGCAACGATAAAGTTGATTTTTTTGAAAATTTAAGAGAGTGCATTTTTTTTACTAATATGGTAATTTGAGAATTTTTTTTTCTTGTAGGAGTTTTTTTTTTTTCAGTCAATGTGGCATGAACTAAATTGTTCAACAAATAGAGTAATTTAATTCGCCATTTATATCATTAACGTTACTAATCTACTTTTTTGTGTGAATGATTCATGTAATATAAATTGAAATGCACTACATATTTGATATATATATATATATATATATATATATATATATATATATATATATATATGTCTGATTGAATAAATTGCAAACATTATGTCTGCTTATTTTGATCATAATCCTTTCATATTCGCGAATGTTTTTCCGTATATTACACTTGAATGCACTGTAACAGTGTGATCACTTTTATTTCCTAAGTACTTTCCATCTCTTTCTGAGATCATTATCTGAGGTGCAACTGGTAAGGCAAAATCTATGTGTAGCTCTTCATTACTGATTTCTTTTTCTTTTGTGTTTAAGTAACCCTAATTTGAAAGTTAACTTTCTTCTTTAAAAAAAAATAAGAAAATAAAAGAATACAAAAAAAACACCTAACTCTAATCTGAAAGTTAACTACAAGGAATTACTGTGAAGGAAGTAAATAGGCCCAAATTGTATACGTTCACCAACAAAATTCAGCACTGAATTACTTATCAATAAGCCGGTAATGGCTGACGAAAGACCAGGAAAAAGTCCGATTTTTTTCGGGTCGTTAACATCCAAAAACATAGGTTTCTTCAATTTCTAATTGTTGATTTGAGTTCATCATATACATTTGCACGGAAATAAGACTATTTTTGAAAAAATTGAAGGGATATTAGTGCTCGGGTGTTAAAATGAAAATTTACTAAAATATTACCAGAAACAGATTTTTGACAAAACAAAATATTACCAGCAATAAAAAATGTTGTCGTCATTAAATAACCCATTGAGGTTGATATACCGTAAAACAAAATAAACCAAACCAAACCAAACCAAAATCCGAAAATCTCCAAAATCCGTTTTTTTTTTGTTTTTTTTTTCAAGTGCTGAAATGTCTTGCCACAAATGGAAAAGTTCAGAAAGCACTGAAAAGGTTCCTAGGTGATGTATAGTTGTTGTAAGCGACTTCATCTTTCCTGGATGGGCCAGTCCAGCTATGTAGTCTACTTTGATGCCAGTCTGTTTTTTAGTGACAGTCACAGCATCACCTTCGTTCTAGTACGTTTACTAGTGCTCAGGAAAGATATTATTCAAAATTTCAAAAAGTCATGTATTTATATATATTTTTGTAAGTAATGATCATGTTTTTTGTACACATATAGAAAGTACAAAACATTAATTTTACGTACAAATCTTAATCTGACCACTTCAAAATCCGTGTAAGGATTACATGCCTAGCGTCATTACGAGTGTCTCTGTATGTACATAAAATTTATTAACTGATCGCCACATCTATCAGTGAGATGAAATTTAATTTTTTATTATTGCATTATTCTAAAATTTTAACACATCAGCAGAATACCAACAACTGAGCACAAGTAGTTATTAATTATAAAATTAGTAATTAATGTATAATATTACCCATAACTACATGTACACACACACACACACACACTAAAAATTAACAGGCTCCGTAGACCATTGTTTATTTTAGAAATTCGATCCTTACTAAATTCCTTGGTATAGTGGGGTTCTCTGTCGCAGAACAAATTGTTAGTAATCTAATCATTCACTATGGTAGTAAATTAAAGTTTTAGTGGCTGAGTCATTATTATCGCCATGTGTTAGCAATTATTTTAATCATCGTAAATATTTTTTCTTCTCCTTTTTCTTCTTTTTCTTCTTCTTCGTGGTTCTTCAGGATTTGGACGATCATGGTTCTCCACAACTTCTTATGTTGCTCTTGGTAATGTCATCTCTTTCTGATTCTAAATATACGTGTCCTTTTTGTTCTTTTATTTTCCCTAAAACTTCTTTGTTTTTTACATGCTCTATCCATAGAATTCTTATCATCCTTCTGTAGAACCACCTCTCTGTTGCCTCAAAACTTATCTTCATCTTTGAGAAAATTATCCCGTATCAAATTATTTTGTTAAATATATATGTGCAATTCTTTATTTATTTATTTATTTATTTATTCTTTTGTTTCTTTATTCTTTTCTTTCTTTTTCTTTCTTTCTTTCTTTCTTTCTTTCTTTCTTTCTTTCTTTCTTTCTTTCTTTCTTTCTTTCTTTACAGCCATATCACGTTGAAACACCAGTTCTCGTTCGATCATGGAAGTTAAGTAACGTCGAGTTTGTTCAGTACCTAGATGGGTGACCGCTTTGGAATACCAGCTACTGTAAAGCTTGAAAGTGTGGGTGGTGTAATGGATAACGAATCGAAATCGGAGAGCCGAGTTCCAGTTCTAGTCGGGTTCGTTATATTCACTTACGCGCAAAAACCCTTGAGAAAGGCATGAATGCACCTCTTCTTTCCTCCCCCATCAGCTATGGGTTAAATAGTAGTATCAGTAAAACAATTATTATCTCCCAACAATTCTTACATTCTTCTTATTTTCTAGTTTTAAATAGCCTTAAAAAGGTTGATAAGCCGTAAAAAAACAAATCAATCTTTTTGGTTCCTTCCTTCCTTCCTTCCTTCCTTCCTTCCTTCCTTCCTTTTTTTCTTTCTTTCTTTCTGCTCGGGTGTATGTACTTGTGTGTTTTACAATGGCTAAGTTTTCTTCTGGGATCCCTAACAACAAAACTAAAATTGCCATATGATCCCTCTTTGGAAAAAATAAAAACAATAAAAATAACGCCAATAAAAACAGAAATAATTTTTAAAAAAAAATGATTTATTTAAAAAGAAAAACATGCAGCAAGCAACGCTGTTGAGCCGATGAGTGCCCTGGTGGATTTAGTACGAGACGAAAAAAGTCATAACGAGGGACTATAGTAAATATTACGGCGTTACACAGGAATGAGGAACTGATAACAGTGCCCTCCACGCTATCCTCAACAGTGAACAATCCCACCCCAACATCTAAACCAGCTCAGCTTGATCTTGCATCTCCACCCTCTTTTCTCCATTCTAAAAATCTAACTATCGTGTTCTTTAAGTAATTGCTACCATCTTCATTTCCATCTGACTACTTGTCGAGCAGCCAACGCCAAAATCAGAAAGCATCGCAAGAATTTTAGAAAGAAAGACAGTAACAGAATCATGAAGAATCAAAGACATGTATGTAAAGTAAGCGAATCTCAAATACAGAGGTACTGTTATTCTTCATTGCGAGCAATAGCGTGAGTATTCTTAGATAGAAATTCTGTATTTGGTTTGGTTTGGTTTGGTTTGGTTTATTTTGTTTTACGGCATATCAACCTCAATGGGTTATTTAATGCCGATAACATTTTTTAGGATAGATTCGTATGAATAGGATATGTATTCTTTGGTTTAGATTGGTTTGGTTTATTTTGTTTTACGGCATATCAACCTCAATGGGTTATTTAATGCCGATAACATTTTTAGGATAGATTCGCATGAATAGAATATGTATTCTTTGGTTTAGATTGGTTTGGTTTAGTTTGTTTAACGGCATATCAACCTCAATGGGTTATTTAATGCCGACAACATTTTTTATTGCTGGTAATATTTTGTTTCGTCAAAAATCTGTTTCGAGTAATATTTTTCTTTCAAAATTGTATTGCTGGTAATAATTTTTTTCAAAAAAGTATTGCTGGTAATAGTTAACTATTTGCCTATAGCTGGGACCCTAACAGGCGCTACCACCTTAGTGGGCCTGGGAGCACCAGCAATTAAGAGGTGGTTCCACGCTCCTCAAAACCTCCCGATCAGAGGCCTTGCTGCTAGACGTAGTTTAACGTCTTACCCAGGACGCGGATGTAGTTTAACGTCTTACCCAGGACGAAAAATCTGTATTTAAAACCAAAAATATATATACCGTGAAGAATCGGAGTCAGACTGAAAATTGCTGTCAAAAACAAAAAAAAAGGGTAAGTTAAGCAACGTTAAGTCTGGTCAGTATTTAAATGGATAACCGCTTGGGAATACGAAGTTTCGATATGATGGTGGTGAAATGGATAATGGCTCGAAATTATAGTGTCGTGTTCCAATTCCATTTGGATTCGCTATATTCACAAATACCCTTAGGTAAAGATAAGGATCCATTTCTCCCCCCCCCCCCAGCTAAAGGTTAATTAGTAAGACTTATATCACTAAACCATTATTATCTTAAAAAAATTTACTCTCTAAAAATATTTTCTGGTAAAGGGTTGATGAATTTTTTATATAATACAAAGTAAGAAGAAGAAGGATAAGGTGAAAGTTGAAAGTTGAAGTTTCAAGAGTTCAAGTATAAAAGTCCTGACGCATACGAGAAAGAAAGAAAGAAAGAAAGAAAGAAAGAAAGAAAGAAAGAAAGAAAAAAAGAAAGAAAGAAAGAAAGATAGATAGTCCGAGAGGAAGTAAATATGTATGTATGTATGGGCATGTGGCCGAGTGGGTAGAATGTTTGCATTCTGACCATAGGACACGGGTTCGAATCTCACTACGGTTCATTCCTCAGGAAGGAGGCTTCCTGATGTTATCGGTCTGGAGGGGTGGATACCACCTTTGAAAAATGCCTGTAAACCTTACCCACAGGTTGACCCAAGCCTTGTGAGTGAAATTGAGCTTGAGCGTGTTGGCTTTGTTCAAATTGTTGATCACGCAAGATAACACAAAAGATAACAGAAACCGTAACTAAGGTCAGCTCAGCATAAGTTGCAGGCGTCTGCAGTAGGGATTGGCTAGCCGCCCTACAGGTATCCTCGAATATGAGAGGCCAGCTAATACTAATATGTATGTATGTATCCAAATGCAGTAACCTACTTTCTAAAAATGTGGGTGAAGGAAGGTACATATATTTTCATTAAATTTATTAACAAATGCATCGAATGACTTAACTTGATTGGCCAGTTCTTTGAAATCATATGTTATAATAGAGTCATATTTGCGTAAAAAGAGAAAATGTGAAGTTGTATTGCATGACAAGAAATATATGAAAATGTTTTGGGTTTGCAGAGTATTGACAAATATAAATCATTATATAACATAATATAATAATACAGAAGGAAAAAGTGAAACTTGAAGTTTCAAGACATCAAGTGAAAAAGTCCTGGCACATACAAGAGATAAAGAGCTTCTTCCCTGGAGGCATTACATTCTGGAAAAGACTCCCAAGAGGATGCTTCACCGATCACTGTAATCATAACAAACATATTTTTATAAAGTTCGTACCTCCTTCTCTTACATCTGTAAAACAGCATCATTCTGTAACACTCTATTTTGAGTGGCTCTTGTGCTTTGTACTGGATGAATAATTATTTGTCCATATGCCGTGTAGCTTCAGGTATATGATCATGGCTCTCCAAAACTTCCTATCCTTTGTCACTCTCAGTAAACTTTGTCTTGACACCACCCCACCAAGTTCCTGTTTTGCCAACCATTTAATCAAGCATGTTAAGTAGAATGCTCGCCGCTAGATATTTACACAAGTTAGTTAGGTAGGTTACTCGCTGCTTTCCTCTGTTCCTCTTGCCTTCAATATGTTCTGTGAGTGTCAAATTCTCCAAGCCCACTTTCTCCATTATGTAGTCTAGAAATTTACACAAGCTCATTAGGTAGACATATTTTCAACAAACTAAACTTGTTCCTTAAGCCTATTTTTTGCTTTATAGTAAACTTTTGTGGATTACCGATATTTCTCTGCTGGAAGAAAAAAAGTAGAGGTTTTGTTTCATGTTCAGGCCATCAAATACAATATATTCACAAGTAAAATTACTTAAACCTTGGAAGCAGGCCAAACAACACCAGTCAATCAAATCTTTTCTTTGATACATAAACTGAGTTTTTCTATAGATCAATATTTTATTGAGCGTCTCTTCGAACTTAACAACAGCTTTTGTCCTTAGAAACGGGTCAAAACCAAAATATATTAATTGTGCACTTATTGCTTCTGAGCAAGTGAAATTCGGTTAAATTATATAATTGTTTAGATTTTAATGCGAAAAGATTTTACAGATTCAAACGAGAGAATTCCAGTTATAAATCTATGTGAAGTGTTTTAACTGACGTCAGAAACCCCGATACAAAAATCCGAAACGAAAATGCACTGGAATAGTGAAGATGCCTTCCAAAAGTTAAAGAAAATATTAAAAAAAGGAAAGTTTCATTAGAAACAAACGAAAGACTAAACTTCTTTGTAATATCAATCCTCCTATATGGTAGTTAATGCTGAACAATTTCCTCACAGCTAATCTTTTTAGCCAGGGTCGGTGCAAGGGTCTAGTGTTCCTGTAGGGGTGCTGTAAGTATTGTTGGCTAGGGTCACCGTGAATATAATAAAGAAGGAAGGCTGTGTTCTTGTAAAACAACACCCCACATGAATAATGCACAAAAAAACACGAGAGAAAAATAATCAAGCTCAGTGAACATTAATAAAATATTGTATTAACAATGATATACAAATATCAACAATAGTATAAAGAAAGTTGCTTCGCTTCTTCCGTAATAAAAAGGGTAAGTTTAGCTAATTAATGTTGAGTACAATATTGAATGTTATTTAACTACAAAGTTCAGTTGAAGTCTTAGCTAAATAAAGAATAGTTCCACAGTGTTTTATCAGTGTAGAAAGATGTAATTTTCATGAGTGATATCAATAGGAATTAGTATGATTACTCGATTGAGTAATAATTAAGAATTAAAATGTCAATATAACGCCATGCCTTATTTTCCAAGAATTGAACTGCTACTGGCTGTTGGCAAACAGCGAGAGTCTTTATATAACGATGGATAGGCTCCAGCGAGCTTGGCTCTAAAAATCTAGAAAGACACTAAAATACACGATTGGTCAAGAAATGGACCAATCCGTGATTTTAGAGAAAATTTTAAATTACCTGCGATGGCAAAATTGTCATATGATAAGTATCATATATTTACGAACCAATGATATTGAAGGAAATGGAGGCATGGCACATGTAAGTGATCCCCACATGCCCAACCCGAATCTATGATACGAGGCCCCCCACTCTACTGCATATCAATTATCATAAGGTAGTATTTTTATAAAATAAAAATTTTATTGTAACCTAATTATGCGCAATAATGCATCATATGCAATGTAGGTGAACAATTCAATTAGAAAAATTGAAAATAAATACAATGTATCGAAATACAAATTAAAGAGATGTCATAATAGATTATTCCATCTTAAATAATTAGAGACATGTCATAATAGATCATTCCATCTTAAATAATTAGAGACATGTCATAATAGATCATTCCATCTTAAATAAATCA